GTGTTCCAGTACAGTTCTGTGCAGAAATAATGCAGCACGTTCCACCATTTTTTCCTGCATGTGAAACCTGGAACGACTGCACTGGTGTACTAGGTCCATTTGAATACATGGAAAATGCTGTGCATACTTTTTTGATGAAGAAAAAAGGCACTGGACAGCATCTGGATATGGACCAGCCCGCAAACGCATTTACAAGCGGTTACAAGCGTTTGGTGTTTGAAACGCCAGTAGACTCTACTCCTGAATTCGATTTTTGTGCTTTGAAAAAAATGCCTGTAACCTCAACTTCCTGCAAACTACTGTAAACAACTATGTGTACATGGACACATAGGAAAACATAAAGGAGAGTTCAGGGGCTGCTGAAAAAAACTGCACAACTGCTCCTAAACTTCAGTTTAGCAGCTACAGTGTACATGAGCCCTAAAGCTTGCCAAACATAGGTAGACTACAGGTAAATTGGTAGAGAGGGATCAAATATACATCAGAATCAATAAATCTGGCCATACGCTAGCAGACTATAGGTTTACTTTTAGTAGAGAGGGAACAGAGGGATCAGATGAATACAGTAAAACTGATTTGACATAGACTATTGGTAATTTGGTAGAGGGAGATCAGTTGAGTACAGTAAAGCTCACCATACATGGGTAGACTATAGGTGTCGCTGGTAGAGAAGGATCACACAAATATAGTAAAGATGATCATTCACGGGCAGATTAAATGTATCCTGGTAGAGGGAGATCAGATGAATACTGTAAAGCTGGCCATGCATGAGCAGACTATAGGTATATTTTGGTGGAGGAGACTTAAGCAAATGCAGTAAGGGCTCGTGTTGATGCGCTTTTTTTTTTTCAAATACTGCATTTGCTATTCAATTGCATTTGTTTGATTGGCAAATGCAGTGCGTGACAAATAAAGGCTACATTTGACTTGCGTTGCATGCAGTTCAAAGGCACCTGAATGGGACATGCTGGATCCAAAGAAATGCAGCACAGCCTCTGAACTGCAAAGTGTACTGTTTAATTAAGGTCATTAGGAATTTGCTGACCTGCATTTGATGTGCGATCTGAACACACATCGGACACAGTAAAAACAACGCCTGTAGACATGAGACCCAAATTTGGCCATACAGGAGCAGACTATAGGTGTTTTTTTCAGGTACTTACATAGTGCTGTCAGTTTTACATAGCGCTTTACATATATATTGTACATTCACATCAGTCCCTGCCCTCAAGGAGCTTACAATCTAAGGTCCCTAACTCGCATTCATATATGCACATACTAGGGCCAATTTAGACAGAAGCCAATTCAGCTACTAGCATGGCTTTGGAGTGTGGGAGGAAACCAGTGTACCCGGAGGAAACCCATGCAGGCACAGGGAGAACACGCAAACTCCAGGCAAAGGTAGTACCATGGTTGGGATTCGAATCAGCGAGTCTAATACTGCTAGGTGGAAGTGCTAACCTCTTAGCCACTGTGCTGGTATAGGTATACTTGGTCGAGGTGATCAGATGAATATAGTAAATCTGGCCATTCATGAGCAGACTATTGGTGTACTTGGTAGTGAGAGATCAGATGACTAAGGTAAAGGTGGCCATACATGGGTTTGAATATAGGTTTTCTTAATAGATGAGGATTGGATGACTGCAGTAGAGTTAATTATGCAGAAGTAGACTTTATGGCAGAAGGTATTCTGATGAATACATTAACGCATACAGGTCATGCAGATCATAGGTATACTTTGTAGACCAGGTAGGCAATGTATAACATAAACCTGACCATATACCGGCACTTTATTGGTGTATTCTGTAGAGGGAGATCAGATTAATACTATCAAGCTGGCCATACATAGGAAACTGGAGTGCCCAATAGTCCTTATTCTCTGCTGATGGTCTCATGAACTGCAGTACATAAGAAAGAAATAATCACATATTCTTACATCACCTTTACATAACTGTCCCATGTGTTTATTATTAAAACAAATTTCTTGTAGACCTCATCTGCAAAATAATTTAAAAAAACTTGATTGGTAAAAGGCCTTTTTTGGGAGCCTTGACACGATCTTGTTTACCAGTTAAAGTGTGTAATGTACAGTCCCTGATCTAGAAAGCTTCCTAAGCAGGTAGAATGTAACAATTTCAGTCTCTCTGTGTATTTTACTTTCTATATACGTTTTTATATTTCATCTACTGCAGCCAGTACTAATTTAAGCATATTACACTTACATATCAGAAAAAATGTATGGATCATTAGACTGTCCTCTCCATGATCATAGATAATGAGGCAAAATCAGTAGATAGCAGTTGATCTGGGCAATTATTTAGGCTTTAAGTTTTATAGTCCTGCCACTTAGTTGTCTTCATTTTAGCAGAACTGACCATTTTCAAGTTTACAAATGAAATTAGAAATGTCAAAGATCAAAATGTTGGTAGAAGTTTCAGGTATCCTGGTGTTGCAAAAATGTATGATCATCTTGTGCAAGGTTACAAATGTGTACAGGTGGGAGAGGGGATCATTATAATTACCAGCTCTGTGCTTAAGCAAAGCAAGTAACAACAGTGGGGCACAATTAGGGTTTTCACATCATGTTAATGTGATAGCCGTCTATGTTACAGAACATTATTCTTTAGACTATTATAGGGGCTTTTAAAACTACACACTGATTGCACATAAATCGAATTCAGTATGATGAATCATTAAAGGGACATTCACACCAGCTGCTGTATTGCAGTTAAGCAGCTGATGTGTTGCAATGAAAGCGGTAGTGATATGCCCATTCAGGCACATCGTACTGTTAACATTTTTTTAAACAAACTTTATTGAAATGTCACACAGTGACATTTTATAATGTTCTTTCAGTCGGCATGCGGTGACTGCACTGAGCTGCAAAAAAGTATTGCACGCACACCATCAGCACACAACAGCAACACAATGATGGGAACTGGCCACACCAGAGATCAGGCTTTTTGCCTTGTCTTGTGGTTGGGGTGTGGTGTGACTGCATTGAAATAGTCACCCAATGCTGTCCTACCGCACCTGGTGTTAATAGAAATTAATTTCAGCTTGAGCTATTGAGCCCTATATATAAGGAGATGCAGGAAAACATGTAGAAGCTCCACTTGATGGCTGGATATTAGAGTGAAAAATTTTCAGATTTCTTTTTTTTTAACCTAAAAAAAAAAAAAAATATATATATATATATATATATATATATATATATATATATATATACAATCTTTTTTTAAATCCTGAATATAATAAAAAAAGTAAAAGGCCACTATACATTCCCAGTATTTTTCCATTTAGTAGTAGCAGCTTGTTTTTGTTGAATTGCTCTTTTTAATTTCACTCTGCCAGGTTTTAAGCTGTACTTTTCTCTTCTGTACCTCTCTATAACACGCCAGCTATTAATGTAAGAATTCTCTGCAGGGCATATTTCTGTTCTTTGTGTCAGATGCCTGCATGGCCGAGATTTGTACTTTTAATTTGGTTTTGATTTTTTTGTTTTGTTTGGTAACAACAGAATATTGAGCAAAATGAATAATGGAAACTGTTAAATTGTTGGTACCTCAGGCCCCAGCACAAGTTTTAGTAGAAGAGCCACCTGATTCTCTTTTTTTTTTTTTTTGTTTCAAATTAGCAAAATATGATATATTTTGTCAAATTATCTTTTAATCCTAGAGTCACATACATAGTAAGAATGTCTGGTGTTTTGTATAACCTACACAAATGGGCCCCCCTGTTGTGGAATTTATTCTGTTACTGTGGCATAGAAATACTGACTATAACATCTACTTTTGCTGTTAAAATCTTCACACTATGGCCCATTCATAAAATGTGGGCCATGCTGTATAGCCTGTGATACCCTACAGAGATCTTGCTGCTTAAATTGCAGCTTAAATTGGCGGAGAGGCGGTTATTTGATTTTTACAGATCATGTGACCGGGCTCTCTTTCTTTGTACAGACATTCTACTACTTTTTAAATTGCCTCCTGTGTCTTATGGTTTATTTTCCATATGTACAGTATATAGATGTAACATCTTTTCTAGACACTATAAGACCCCTGTACTAAAATGTCAGTTATTTTACTAAAACCTGCAGCTACTATGAGCTATCCGAGAAAGTGTGACTTATATTCAGACAATGTTTGCTTTACGATTCAGGTAACAAAAGAAAGGAGAGATATTCTCCTAGATTGTAAGCTCGAAAGAGCAGGGCCCTCAATCCCCTCATGTTTTGCATTTTATTGTTATTGTTCTGTCACATGTTCTGTCCCCCTTTGTAATGTACAGCGCTGAGCGAACTATTGGCACTTTATAAATACTGTATAATAATAATAATTATTATTTTTGTTTCTTGAACTATTGTTAAATGCAGCCCTGATCTATATACTGATGCGCCATTGACATTAGAAGTAGCATAGGCCATTTGGAAAAGCTTATTTTCAATCCAGCATACACATAATATATTGTTATTTTGATTTTCTGCTGAGAATTGAAATGTAGATTTAAAAGAAAAACTGGGAGTAGGATTGCTAGAGGATTAGCTTTATTCTACAAGAAGATTAGCTACTTATCAGCATTAAGTATGAAGGTGCAATGTATTTAGTTTATCAGTCTTGAATATGTATGTATAATATAAATTAATTCTTTTTAACGTCTATGTAAACCCAATCAAAATATCTCACATAATCTTTAACGTTAATGTAATCTCTAAAGTCATTTTCAATATTTTTAAATCTGCTGATTTTAATAAATTAATACTGTATGATCCTGCTTTGATTCTGCTTGTTACGCTACTTTCTATTATAGGGCTACAAAGCTTTGCCCCTGTCTCCCATTTGCTGTTCTGCACTGTCGCCTCACATGGGTTTCTAATGGAAATTATTAGTAGCCATTTCAACACACATTAATCAGGCATGGTCCATTGTTGTCACCTGGAAAGTCTTCCAGTAGCAGTTTGCATTTACAAATATTTGAATGAATTTTGATCTATTTTTCAGAACACTATAATGTCTCGCGATCAAATAGAGAAAGAATATGATGTGCTTGTGAAGAGTTCAGGTCAGCTCCTTAATGCTCTACAAAAGAGGAAGAAGGAGGAAGAGGAGGCTGAACGGCTGCGTCGTATTCAGGAGGAGATGGAAAGAGATAGGAAGAGACGTGAAGCAGAAGAAGAACTCAGGAGAAAAGAGGAAAATGATAGGAGGCTGTAAGTATATATGTCAGTTATTTTAAAGCTAAACTATAGATAAGAAAATAAAAAAAACTGTTGAAATACAAATTAGAATTGTTTTACTTGTGAAACGATTTGTAACATATATCTTGTAATCCAGGCACCATTGCCAGACTGCTTAGCCAGGTTCTGGACCTCCATTGCAGCAGCAAACAAGTACACAGAGTGAAAACACAGCTACAGCATGCTGATTGGTCATTGACGCAGCAAACTCATGAGCCCTTGCCCTGCTCACACTGCTCTCTTTTCCTGACAGCACTTGTGCATTGCTACAGAGCCTGATTGGCTCCTAGTTCTGGCCATCTCTTTTCCAGTTTAAGTGCTGCTATACAGGAATTCACAGGAGGACAATATCAGAGTTAAATACCTACACTAGCTGCATTTCAAAACAAATGTATTTCTTAATGAATACATAGCGGCATTAACTGGTGTTTTTATATTTGCCAGACATTCAGCTTTCATGTAGTAGCCTAAAAATTATATTAAAATATAATTTTTGCATGTTTCATTCTAATGTAGAAAAGCTGAGATTGAGGCAAAGCGAAAACAAGAAGAAGAAGAACGGAAAAAAAGGGAAGAGGAAGAAAGAAGAATTCAGGTTTGTGTGTAGTGGACTCTCATCACGTTAGAAATGATCAGACAGTGGACTCTTGTTTGTTGAGCAGTATAACAGGTTTTGCCTTTTATACTTTGGATGCAATCAGTGGACAAAATGATATGATTTTAGCAAAGCCAGCTTTTCAAGCAAGAGTCCACTGCGTGGATGCATATGTGTTGAAACATCTCAGCTTAAATATTAGAGAAATCTGGTATTCAGGGGTGTTCACTTGTTGCCATCTAAAGTATGATTGGCATCAAGATGTCCCTATGGCTGCTTTTTGTTCATACTGAAAAGTCAAAAGCTCAAGCCAAATAGCATGTTATCCAGTCGTTCTGAGGCATACTTTACATAAAGATAATGGGTCTTCTTCCACCCTTTATTCAACCATCTTTGTTATTTTTGCACTGTTTTGACTGTATTCAACAAATCTTTTAGAATTTCTAAAGAGATTTTGTAACTAATTTAAAAACCAACATTCTTACAGAATCCAAGGCACATTTATTTTGTATTATTACTCTAACCTTTATTATAAACCTCCATTGGAGCTTGGAAGTGATGGCAGTGGCCCAAGCAACAGCTCTGATAGCTGAGAACTATTGTAAACTTTCAGAGTAGGATATTGTGTGTTGTTTCTCTGATCTCAGTATCCAGCATCCACCACGCTAGCAGTTGAGGAGTGATCTGTCTTCTTCTGGCTTCATCTCCTGCTGACGCACCTTTGTACTGAGAGTGTAGAAGGGCTGGTATGCACTTTTTGAGCTGTGTGCTGTACTGGAGTTCAGCAGCTCTCTTTTCTTGCATGCACCCTGCCTAGGGTAGCAGCAGTAGTTAAGAACATTGTGCACCTTTCTCATCAGTCCCTTGCTGCTGACTGTTTACACAATCCTACTGCTATTTCATGCAGTTCTGGGAGCCACACACAGAAGCCAGTCATGTAATGGCTGGAAAATGGGGAGGGGGGGCCTGAGGTCAGTACAGACAGACATTTCTTGGAAGTATCACACTGTGCAATTAAAATATGCTCACAAGCTATATATTGATAAAGAGTATAAAAACGGTAAGTACATTTTGCTATACATGCACAGTTTGATCTTGTTTTTTTAATCCTTTAAAGACCTTGCACGTAAAGAGAAGACCTGTTAATCTGCTAATCTCCTAAACCTTGTTGTAGAATGACAGCACACAACACCTTTTTAGGTCCAGGGGCATCAACCCTGCCCAGTGTGTTTGCTAAACTACTCAACCACTCCCACTCTCAGAGCTCTACAAAGACTTATAATGTAGTTCAAGATATCATGCAGGATAAATAAATGCTTTGAAATAACACAGGAAATGTGCAAGTCACAAGGAAGCTCTAAAAGGCAGCAATTTTTTATTCACCTGTCAAACAGATATGACAAAATGCTTCCAATGGTATATTAAACAGGAAATCTTGTAATCCTGAGTTTTTGATTTACATTAAAACAAGGTAACCGGTTCTCTGTAACTGGTTGTAAAGCAAGTTGCACCTCTGCCTGAATTCTCTTCATTTTACTAGAGAAATATATGGTTTTTGTGGTTGTCTGGTTTTCTTAAGGGATCCTTCTATGCAATGACACAAAATACATTGCTAAATTAATTTTAAGACTTAAAATTACTTTACATTTCTCTAAAAGCCCAACTCAAGACAAAATGTATTATTTGTTTTGGATAAATAAAAGAGTAAAAGCCTCAGTTGGGTTTAATCTATCTATGTTTCTACTGGGGAGATCTCACTTTCAGTCAGGGTGGGAAGTGAGGGAAAATCTCTACAACAGGGGCACAGACAAAAAAACAAACAAACAGATTTTTGCTAAAGTGTGGAATTGTTAGAACTTCTAACAATGTTTTTTGTTTTTGCCCATGCCTTCCTTTTCAGGTGGCAGCTGATTCCCCCACTTCTTGTATGGGCATCACATGCCCCCCTAAAAAAGAAAGATTGGACAACCGTATGCACATATACAGTTTCACTGAAGTGGGCCTTCTTCCGTGAGGTTGCATATATGCATACGTGTGTGTGTTCTGGAAGCACACTGCGCAGTGAGCTCCTAGCATGGCGACTGAGCTGTCACCAATGGCTATGGGGCCTTGTACTAACAATCAGGAGCTGGGAGGCCTGGCTCTTGATCACATGATTGTTTTGATAACCTGTGATTGGCTATCACAATGATTAGTAACTATAAAACCAGCCCCTGTGTTCTCACTTCTTTCGTTTGAGATAAAGATATGTTGTATCTTTTTCTCATTGCTGTAGGTGAAGTATGTAAAAAAAAAAAATGTAAAATAGCTAGATCCAAATTTGATCTAGTTCAATGTTAGAATCAAATGTCAGTGTGTTTTAGGTTGTATTTTAAAAAAGTGAGTTTTTTGTTTTTGTTTTTTTCGTATTAGTGTGTTTAAGTAGGATAAATAAAAAAAAAATCAACATGCACATTATTGTTTCTGGGGTACAAACTATAAATAACATACACATACAGTATGGGATATTTCTTTGATAGCCACTAGTATACCTGTATATACCACCAGTATACTAGTAGGAAAATTTGATTTGGGTTGTTCTTTGGTGGTGGGCAATGGTAATGGCAATAAATATACAACTTAATTAAAAAAAAGATTTTTGTTTTACTATTGTGGGCCATTTTTTTTCTTTGATAATAAAAAACAATCAGGAGATATCTATTACCATTTACCACCAAATGAAAACCCTATTTATTATTAAAAAAAACCCCACAAGGTTTAATTTACACTAGATACACTAAGTGGTTGCAATGATATGTACAGTTTCAATAGCACATGCCAAAGTTGAAGCACTGGTTTCAGGTGTTGTTTTACCTTTTGTCATGAAGAGGTTAAAGTTCTTCACACACTGTAATTAAGTATTTGTTTGAATCACAGCAACCTCTAAATAGTATGCTCAGCCAGCATAAGTTGAAACCTTTGACTTCTAATTCTTGCTGTGCCAAGGATAATAATAATGGGGCAGTAAGCTCATTTGTGTGCATGTAGGTGGGAGGTGGCATCCAAACAATACAACTGCTTCATGGTTGCCTGAGTAAAACATTTTTTATGGTTGCCCAAAGCATAGCATATCATGAAGGTTCTATTTGCAATTTTGTATTCTGACCATTTTTTCAAGTGAATAGTGTCTCAGATTCATAGCCTTGTGCAATTGTCATGACTCTGATAGTTTATCAGATGTGACATTGTACAAACCAGGATGGATATTTCTTCTTCTATGACTTTCATAAATCATTATATTATGAAAGGTACTGGATCTGGTTACCTTTCAGAAACTATTTGGATGTCAGGAAAGGAGAATCACTGATGGGACTAGCATTTGGGAAAATTTACTATGTCTTTATTTAATTTGCTCTGCTCCTGCTTCAGTTGACTCTGTAGAAAGTTGATTCTCAAAAATAACCATGCATTTTGCTGATTATAGTTAAAATAAAACAGCGTATTTAAAATATTATACTCGGCTCATAATTTCAACAGTGAGGCTACAAGTCCTAGATTTTCTTGAAAGTTCCATGAATTTAAAGTGGATTATCAGGTTTTGTAAATTGCTAAAGTCAAACACCATGCCACTGCTTGCTTTAGGACTTTTCTTAATTAAAAAAAAAAAAAAAAAAACCACAGCAGTGGTATACTGGCACTGGCAAGATTTAGTGCATACCTTCTTATCAGTCAACAGAGGCTGTGATAAAAAGGAGGAATGCTGTGGTATTCCTGATAATTTTCTTTTTGCCCTCTCGTCTTTTTAATACCAGCTAAATAAAATGATTTAATAGTGACAAGAATCATTATTAATGTGAACTTCAAAATATCAGCAGATATGTTTTTGTATATGCAGCTCGAGGTGGAGATGCAGCTGGCGAGAGACCGAGAGGAAGAGTCACAGCAGCAGACTATACTTGAGCAAGAGCGAAGAGATCGGGAGCTTGCCATGAGAATTGCCCAGAGCGAGGCGGAGCTGATCAATGAGGAATTTGGTCCCGACTCTTCGTTACGCAGGTACTCATATGCTGTACATATATTTGTGTTTCCAGGGTTAGAGTGTGTTTTCAGGGAAATCTTAGTGATGACACAAGACATTCATCTACTGTGTATAGAGTCGGGTCAAAAAGTAAGTACACCTCATGGAAATTGTAGACCTTAGACCTTTCCATATTGGAACAGGCAAACATTTCAAAAAGTAAGTACAGATTAGGATAATATTCTTGAAACAACACATAAAATGGACATTGTATATTCCTTTTCATTAAGTTTACAAAAATTCAGATTTTTCATATGTAATAAGTACACACCCCTATATTTATCACCACTTTAAACCCATTCAGTTATTATCTGGTGTTTAGTTTGGGTGCCAGTGATTAGAACCTCCTTAGGTAGTGTGCAAGTGGAACCTGTTTTATTTAAACACCAGAAAATTGTGAATGTCTAGAAGTCTTGCAAGGGATTTAAAAGGATCACCATGTGATTGGAAATCAATCATTCCACTGTAAGGAAAATAATATACAAGTGAGTTCACATTTAAACAACTAGCAACTTGTCAAGGACGGGCCAGCCCAGCAGATTCAAGCCAAGAGCTCACCGTCTGATGCTAATCGAAGTTTCCAAGAACCCCAGAATTTCATTGCATGTTGTTGATGTAACTCTTGCAACAGCTGGGATCAAGTGCATGCATCTGCAATCATAACCAACTTGCATCAGAAGTGAAATAAGAAAAGGTCTTTGCAAACCATTTATGAAAAAAAGATTAGAGCAAGGTTACAGTGTGCCATTGAACATATAGGCAACGACCATGATTTCTGAAATAATATGCTGAAGCCTGATCAATCAAAGATAGGGTTGTTTAGTAACAGTAGATCTGTTTGCTTCAAACCAAAGACAGTATATGAGGGGGAGAACCTCATGGAAACTGTGAAGCAGGATAGGTTGAATTGCTGCCTCAGGTCATGGCCAGCTGATCATCATCATTAACAATACAATCAATAAATTAATATATATATATATATATATATATATATATATAAATAAAGAAAATAGATACTAATCCCAATCTATGTAACTGTAATTACCCAGTATTGGATCACCATGAAATCACCAAGCGGGGAGGGGGAGACTGCAAAACAAAACAAATTAAGTTAAATTGCACCTGCACACACCCTCATGTTAGGATACAACACCTATGCCCATGCAGCCACATGTTTCAAAAGAAATGAATGAGGCGCCAGCACAGGGATGCACGCCACAGCTGTTTATCCCCATTTCGGTAAAAACTGCCCTGCACGGGAGACAAATGTTTGTGCCCTCATGGGAATAGGATCTTAGCAGTTATTTTTTATTTTCAATAGGTGTTATGTGTACAGAGAGCATTACATGTAACCTTTTGTGTTTACCTTGGACCTAAAGATGTTCATAAATAAAACTCATAGGCTCACTTCACAAAACTTTCACATGAGAATCACTTTTTTTGCCATTCAAATGTAATTTTCAAATCCCATTCGAATCAGCTGACAAAATGTTAAATAAAGATCCTTATCCTGGTGTGTTAGCTTTGTGAATTGAGCCTTATATGGACTATGTCTGGCATACACATATTATTTGCAGGGTAAAGATAGAAGAAAACTGTGCAAACAGAACTTGAAATCTTCAGCATTTATATTTCATATACTGTTTCTAGAGGTATTCCATTGTGATCACTAAAATGTATGCTAGTATCAATGTGTAGAACTTTTGTTATTTCCTGAAGCCTTTTCTCAACACTTATAAAATATAGGTCTTGCCTATGTAGCCTTTCATGTTTTTGCTGTTCATTGTCCTTTATTTGTAGAGAAATAAAACAAGATGAAATTTCAAAGTCCTACATTTGTTAGTGGAAGGGGCAGCAGAAAAAAAAAATCTCATCATTGTCTTTTCTTGCGCTTTTTTTTTGTTCGTTAAAACCATTTGAAGTCAATCTGACTTGGTATTACCTAAACACATCACAATAGAAGTTTGCATCCTGTAGCTGGTGTGGCATAATTTGATATGGGCATCCCATACTTTTACTTTGTTCCTGGCAGTGCTGCCAGTGTAATGACAATGACCAGACAAAGGATCTGGAGTTATACAAGGCTGCCTGTAGCCTATTCCTTTGTGAATACAATCCTGGTGCTTCACTAATGCGTCTCTTTCTTATCGCTTATTTGACTGCTCTACAACAGAGTTATTCAACTTTTGAAAGTGACTTTGTTGAGCAATCGTTTTAAGTTCTAGCACTTGTGTGTGGAATTATTTCTTGCACATTATACAGAGCCTGAAGCCAGTTTTCAGTGAATATATTAACCTTATAGCATCATCTGCTCTGGATCTCCCAGTACAAAGCAAAGATGATTTAATCTCTACACTCCTTAGCCCCCCTTGTCTTGATAAAAGAAAAGACAGTACATCTGTAAGCTTCTGAGCACCAAAGGGACTCAATTAGGTGGAATGTAGTTTACAAGGATTCATGGTTTGCTTTTTGTTTACCTATTTAGACTTTTGACATGGTTTATGCTGTAGGTTTGTGTTGTTGTCTTTGGAATATATACATGTCTCTAGGACTGTGTACCACACTGAGATGACCGTGACATCTTTACAGATTTGACTGTTCATTTTTAATTTACTGTGTCATGTCTTTCTTTGTCTTCATGTTCTTGTTTTCACTGGTAATGCGTGCTTATATGACTAATAGTCACATCTCCTGCTTATCCAAGTGGAGTGTTCTAAAGGTGCCTGCAGACTTTAAATGGCACCCAACCATGCCTACATGACTTGGCTGCCTGCTGATATTTCTAATGATGATTGTTTTCTAAACATGTAAGTTTACATCAAGTGAACTTTCAAGAGGGAGTGCTGCAGGCCTTTTGTGTCGTAAAAGAAACAATATCAATTTCAACCAGGAACATCCGTCCAAGCTGAATTTTCCCTGACAAGCTCATCCAGGTTTGCGGAGGGTTTTACATAGATATTGGGGTTTCCCAATCTGACTATAAATTTACCCAATCTAGCCAACATTATTTAAGGCCTATGGGTACCCTTACATTTTCCTGTGATATTTTAATAATTATAAACTAGGTTTGGTTAAAGAATCTGCTGGAAAACAACCTTCTAATCGTCGCTCTCAGCCAATGGCTGTGAGCGCTGACCTGTGTGTTCTGGTGGGGTGGCAAGCCCCCTGTCAGAATATAATAGCACAGTGAAGGAGATCGCTGTACTAACATCACTTGTGTTAGTACAGCAGTCTGTCAGTTTTTTTTGTTTAGTCCATTATGTTGAACAAAACAAAAAAAACACTTATAGTGTGTACTATGTATAAGAAACTTAAGAACATTACTTAAGCTTGGACTGAGGCTGCTGTATGTTAGTTGCTAAATGACTGCTGTGTAAAATCAATTGTGAGAAAAGCCACTTACCCTGTTGTTTTCCAATAAAAGTAGGCGCTGTAAACCCAGACTTGCATTAAGATAAAAGGAACAGCGAAACAGAAAGAAGAACTTAGAGTACACCAGTTATGACTGTTGTGCATATGTACAGTTAGGTCCATAAAAATTTGGACACCGGCACAATTTTCATTCTTTTGGCTCTGTATGCCACCAGAATAAATTAAAACGAAACAACCCAAATGAAATTGAAGTGCAGACTTTCAGCTTTAATTCAAGGGGTTGAACGCAAATATCAAATACAAATTTTAGGAACTGCAACCATATTCAGGGGCTCAAATGTAATTAGGCTAATGAATATAGTCATAAATAAAATGTTCATTTTTAATATTGAGAATCCTTTACTGGCAATGACTGCTTGAAGTCTGGAATCCAGGGACATTATCAAAGACTGGGTTTGCTCCTTTCTGATGCTTTGCCAGGCTCTAACTGCAGCTGTCTTCAGTTGTTTTTTTGTTTGTGGGTCTTTCTGCCTTTTAGTTTTGCCTTCAGCAGGTGAAATGCATGCTGAATTGGGTTGAGATCAGGTGATTGACTTGGCCATTGCAGAATATTCCAATTCTTTTCCTTCAAAAGCACCTGGGTTGCTTTTGCAGTGTGTTTTGGATCATTGTCCATCTGCACTGTGAAGCTGTTTCCAATCAACTTTGCTGCATTTGGCTGAATCTGGGCTGACAGTATATCTCTGAAGGCTGCAAAATTCATCCGGCTGCTTCTGTCTTCTGTCACATCATCAATAAACACCAATGACCCAGTGCCAGTGGAAGCCATGCATGCCTACGCGATCACACTGCCTCCACCATGTTTTTTACAAATGACGTTGTGTGGATCATGAGCTGTTCCAAGCCTTCTCCACACTTTTTTTCTTCCCGTCATTCTGGTGCAGATTAATCTTAGTTTCATCCATCCAAAGAATGCTTTTCCAGAACTGGTCTGGCTTTTTTAGATGTTTTTTTGGCAAAGTCTAATCTGGCTTTTCTATTCTTCAGGCTTATGAATGGTTTGCACTTTGTGGTGAACCCTCTGTATTTGCTCTCGTGAAGTCTTATTTTGATTGTAGACTGACAATGGTACACCTACCTCCTGGAGAGTGTCCTTCACTTGTCTGGATGTTGTGAATGGGTTTTTCTTTACCATAGAGAGGATCCTGCGATCATCCATCACTGTTGTCCTAATGTTGCTGCTATCTCTCTGATGGATTTGTTTAGTTTTTGAAGCCTGTTTCACTTGCATGGACAGCTCCTTTGAACGCATGATGTAGGTTCACAGCAATAGATTTCAAATGCAAATATCCCACTTATAATCAACTCCAGACCTTTTACCTGCCCTTCCTCCAATTTGGATGTACATACCCTCAAATTAAACCTGAGTGTGCGCACTTTCAGCCCATATCCATTATATACTATAGCTCGAATATATTTTGGTAAATACCTGAAAAAATCTAAAATTGTTCCTGCGTCCAAATATATATGGACCTAACTGTATGTGTGTTTTAGAGGTATACACAATAATGTGAATAAATAAAAGTTTTAAAACATTAATAAATGT